AAAATATAAAAAAAAAAATTTGGCATGATATTGTGATTGAAGCTATTCTGTATTCAGATGGGGTGGATTCAAATAAGATGGCTGGGAATAGCGTTGCATGTCCTTTATGTGGGTGGCGCCCAATTTAAATTTTTTAAAGATTAAGTGTCAAATGTGCGTCTACAAGAGTATAATATACCGTCATAAATTAAGTAGCAGTTATTTTTTTAAAAAAAATGATTTACTTACAGATTTTAAAATTTTAAGTAAAATACAAAATGCTCTATTTATAGGCAAAAATTACAAAAAAAAGTTGGTCAACTCAATTTTTTTATTTTTTGCAAAATTGCTCATTTGGGAACCCAAATTTTGATTTTTTTTTTTTATTTAGTTTTTTCATTAGTAAAACAGTGCCTTAATGCTTGGGGCACTGCCCTACTAACTAAAAAACTAAAAAAATAAAATCAAAATTCAAGTTGATTGAGAGGCAATTTTGAAAAATAAAAAAAAACAGGTTCGCTAACTTTCTTTATAGTTTCCGCCTATCAGCCGAGCATTTTGTATTTTATGTAAAATTATAATCCGTACATAAATCACAATTTTTTTTAGCGTTTTTTTTTGTGGGATTCCTTTGACCATGGAAAAAGTGTTTCAAATGAGTATTACGCTTGCAAATACATTAGAAGAAACTAACTTATTTGTTGAGAGTGACTAATTTTTTTGCTCAACTATTAGTATTGACACATTTGTAGCCTCAAGAAAAAGGAAAGGAGAAGAACAAAAAAAATTCCAAATAAAATTAAAATTAAAAGAAAAAAAGAAAATGGGGATCCAAGAAAAAGGAAAATTGGGTTGAAAGACAATTGAGCTCCAAAAATCAAAGAAAACTTGGTTCTTAAAGAAAATTGGTCTAAAACAAAAAAAACAGGTATTCAAAATTCATAAAAAAATTTTAGTAAAATTTTACACTGGCTGCGAACCTAATTACCTTACACAACTCTCCTCTTTCACCTGGCTTGGGACCGGCTGGCTCAAAGCAGAGTTAATTTGTAAAACCACAAAAAAAAAAAAGGAGAAAAGAAAGAAGAAGAGGAAATTGGGTTCTGATTAGAATGGGTACCTGCAAATATAGGAGTGGTGAAAATCGAAGGTCAGGGCCAAGAACCTGGTTACTAATAAGTTCCTCACCATGAATAAGCTCCTTAAGCTCGAGCCACTCTTCAATGGTCTTATTACACTGAGCTTCCAATATTCTCACTCCACTGTCATTGCACTTTATGTGAGGCCTTCCACTCTCTGATTTTCTCACTCTACCTGCAACTGCGACATGCCTTTGAAGCAAAACAAACATGCTTTCTTTGACCTTATAAATGCTTAGGCTTTCCGCTGCTTGTTTGTTGTAGTAATACACAGCTCTTAGATAATGAAGCTTCATGGCCAGGTCCATGTTGCTTAGCTCATGGACTGTGCCATCTGCTGTGACTGCTGCAGGAAGAACTGTGGAGACCTTGATGCCATGGGTGTGGCCCTGAGATTGGGCTGCAACCATAGTTTTTTTCTCCTTTTTTCTTTTTGGGTTTTGAGAAGGGGGTTTAGAGGAGGAGAGAAAGAGGAACAGGGTAATGTGAGGAGGCAAGTTGGAGCTGATTTGAGAGCAATTTCTCTCTCTCTAAGTAGAAGTCAAAACAGGTTGAGAGACCTTGGGAGATGAACACCCATTATATACTCTCTATCACCAAATCAAATTACCAAGTAACAATTAAAAAATAAAAAATAAAAAAAAGAAAAAAGAAAAGAAAAGCTCTCTTTCTCTCATAAATACTATCTATGTATCTTGAAAACAACATCAGATGAGACCTTTTTTGTGATTTATGTATGGACCCTAAAAATTTAGGTAAAATACAAAATTTTTCATTTATATGAAAAAATTACAAAAGAAGGTTAGTCAATCCATTTTTTTATTTTGTTCAAGATTGCCCGGTCAATCTGATTTTGATTGTTTTTTCCATTAGTAGGGCAATATCTTAAAGCTTGAGGCACTACCCTACTAGCAAGAAAGATAAAAAAAAAAAAATAAATATTTAAAAAATTAAAAAAATCAAAATTCAAGTTGACATAAAGGCAATTATGGAAAAAATAGATTGACCCACCTTCTTTATAATTTCCGCATACAAGTAGACAGCATTTCGTATTTTACCTAAAATTTTAGGGTCCGCATGTAAATTACTGTTTTATCTATCTTTCACTAAGCAAGAAGAATCTCTCTCTAATAACTATATATGTAATCTTGAAAACAACATTAGATGACTTTTCTTCTTTTCTTTTTTTGTGATTTTATCTATCTTTCACTAAAAAGAAGAATCCTGTCTCTCTCTCTAATAACTATCTATGTAATCTTGAAAACAACATTAGGTGAGACCTTTTATTCGATTATCTTTCACTAAAAAGGAAAAAAAAAAAAAAAATTGGTGTTTGAACAGAGTACACAACACAGTTGGGCAGAGAGATGAAAGAGAAATGAAAATCAGACCTTTCTTGGTTAGTAACGGTTATCAATCAACATGGTTAGCAGTAAAAAGTGAGGAGACTTTCTTTCTCTTTGCAGTTAGTTGTGATAAATATGTATATGGTGAGGAAGCTGAAATCTCAATCAAGAGACTCTGAAATTTAATGCCGAAGTTTCTGGTTAGTTGCCGGAGGTGCATGTGATTTGCATTCAAATTTTTCTGTGAAATTGTTTACCACCTCAAAGGAAGGAAAAGTTGTGTGTCTTGTGTAATGACATAGATGAGGGAGTTAATGCAGAGCAATACGAAGGTGACGTCTAATCTCTATCTCCACTGCCCAACTTTTTCTTCCATGATAATCCCGGACCCCAGTGATGTGGATGAACTTCACCCTCCTCAATTTAATAGTTTTCAGGCGTGCGAGAGAGAGAGATGGCACTGGATTCGGACCTACCCGGGCCCAAACCCGACCCCGGACCTGAGGGGTAGACCTGAACGAGGTCTGGGTATGGGTTCAAATATCAGACCCGACAGGTCTGGTATGGGTCCGGGTCTAAATTTTTTACCCGAATACTATTTGGGTTTGGGTCCGGTAATATTTCTCAAGTCTCAATTTATGAAATAAAATTAAATAATAGATATTTTAATTTTTGAATCGAATTCGATCGTGTCCGGGTTCCGCTCTATATTTTCGGATTCGTGTCTTTTTTCGGTTGGTTTGGGTCCAGGTCCCATATCATTTTTCCAAGGTCCGGAGCTGGACCCGACCCACCAATTGCCACCCTAGACTCTCTCTCTCATAAAATTTGTATGCATTGAAGGAAAACGCATGTAAGGTGCCAACCTTGTGATGTACGACGTATACCTTAAAAGTCCACCAAAAAGGTTGCTTTGGTGTCCAAAGGCCCTATAACGGATTATATGTGGATATTAAAAAAAGGATTCAAATCATAAAACTAATGTACTTTGTAACAATTCATGTCAACCGGCATTTTTAAAACTTTGAGGTGTTTGTAGATTTGCTTGATTTGTTTGTGTAGATTTGCTTGATCTACATCATTTTAGAACTTCACATACTATATGAAAAATAGATTTTTAGGCTATCGTAAAGGTTTTCGATACCAATACGTCATATTTTAGTGAAATTTAGATGTGCGTCTTACTGTAATTATTTAATGTTGACACCTTATATAAACCGCACCCTAAATTGAATTCAGTCCTCTCTCTCTCTTTTTCTCTAAGAGGGTTGTGTTAAGTAGGACCACCAATTAGCATTTCGAGACTCTGCTGTGTAATTCAGACAAGCAGTGTTATTCCGAGTTACTCAGTATAACTCATGGTAGATCAAAACTAAAAATATATAAAAATATGGGATTGATGGATAAAAAATTTATATATAATTTAGATGTTATTGGGAATGATCGGTGAAAACATGAGACCGTTTACCTTTTCTACAAGGCGGTCACAATCAGTATTCATAAAATCAAAGCGAAACGGTTAACCGGACATGGGCTGGGAGTGATTCGAACCAAAACCGGACTAACCAGTGAAATAGATTTTTTTAAAAAAAAATAGGTAAAAAACCCCCCAAAAAAATAAAATAGAAATTTATAAAAATAGAAATTTTAAATTAAATGTATAATATCTTATTACATATATTTATCTTACGAAACAAATTAAAACAAGTTTTTATATAAATTAATATTTGAATACTATGGTAATATACATTATCCCAAGCAGGTCACATAAATCTTTTTGTTTCCTAAAATGCAGTCTGATAATAAGTTTACAAAACCTTATCACAAATGTATTTCCCCAATGTAAATATGCATTCTAGATATTCAGGTGTTGCATAAACATTACACTAGCCTATGTTTATTACTTAAAAACATAAGCATACATATATGTTTACGCACTCCAGTTTCAAGTTTTACAACACTTCACGATACTGCAGATCAAACTTAGAAACAACGGAAAAGAAATTGATCCACCAAATTTTACAAGTCCATCTAGAATTTCCATCTAAAATAAAAAACATTATTTTATTAAGAAAAATAGAAAATGTCTTTCTATATTCATCAAAATAATAATTTTATAAAGCAAAATAATTTTTTTTTTGAAAAATCGATTTCTCAAAAACTTCTAAAATCATGCAACATTTAAAGCTAGAAACAACCATCAATATTCAAATAATCGCACAAATCAACATACAAGCACTGTAAAGGTTTTGACCACCGTTTTAAATGCACCAAAAATCATAAAAAAAAATATTGGGTATTTTTATTTAATTGAAAAAAATTGTGAAAAATTCAGATATGTGAAATCGAGCAAGAAAAAAAAATATAAAAATATTTACTCAATAATAAATAAGCATAACTATTTTATGTGATAGATGAAGCCTTGACGATCAAATTACACAAATCAATTTGATAAAAAAAAGTCAAAAAAAATTGATCTAAAATCTTCTTCTTCTTTCTTTGCATCGAACACAGGTTCTTAGAGCAGCAGCTTTTCGGGCCAAAATCAACCCCAATATTTTATTTTTTGAACAAATTGAAAGAGATATATGGTAGATAATTCGATTAGGGATTAAAAACCCTTAAATTTCAGCAAAAACCATTGACTATTCAAGATGATATTGATAAAATGGCGAAGATTTCAAAAGGCGTGAAAATCCACCATTTCAATCCATAAAATCTCTTGATTTTTCAATCTTGGATTCGGATATGCTTGTTTTCTAGAGAGTAAATAGTGTTTTACAACTATAAAGCATAAAAAAGCCAAAAAATGGCAAGAAAAAAGAATAAAAAAAACTTAATAAAATGTGAATTCCTGCATCAAATAACAGTTTCAATTGAAAGTAACGGGCGTTATGTTAACTACCGTTATTTGTTCATAAAACCCGTTATATTCTCTAACCGGTTCGATGAGCAAAAAAACCGGCCAATTTGATTAAAACATGGCTGGTTCGCCTAATTGGCCAGTTTTGGGCCTGAAATTTTATGGGATTGTACCCTAGGCTAGGAGATCCCCAAAACCGCCCATAACCGAACTCGAAACCCTAGTGGTTTCAAGCTAACATACCGGTTTTTCTAACAATGGTCATAATTAATCTTGACCATTGGATGTGAAATTAGGTGTTGCATTTATTTCATGGACCAATCTCAAAATTCAAAAAAAAATTTCTCGAACTTTGTGATACATCCAATATATCATATTTCACATGGGACGATTATAAGTAATTTTGACCTACCAATTCCAAAGATAAATGATCTTATTGTACATAATCCTTTTTACATTTTTCTTTTTTAAATTTCCTTTTTACATTTCTCTTTTTAAAATTTTCAAATATCGCAAACTATATAACTCCAATTTTTTAAAATCCATATTTAATTAAGATAAAAACCCAGGTGAAAGTCACTGTTTTAATCGCTTTAGCAGCTACGACGTGATGTAGGTATCGTTTTTCTATTTGTGGGAGCTTACGTGGCAACCCCTCGGAACTGAGCCCGTCTGGTCGAGCCCCAAGTGACTCATACGAGTAACTCGGCCTCTGGTCTATTGCGGTTTTTTTAAATTAATAAATTTTTAAATTTTTAAATATATGTTTATATTATTTATATGGTTTTAAAGTTTTTATGATGATTTCAGAACTTTTCTCATTACATGTTCTCATTTTTCTTTGTGGATTTTTTTAAAATATTTCAAGATATAGGTCAAAATTTTCATTAATATATCTTTTTGTATACTTTTTTGGATTTTTATAAACTTTTAAATATGGAAAATGTTTGTGGAAAAGTGAGGCCCTAAACAATCAAATGTAAGGGCATCTCAAAAATTCACTAGAAATTGATGCAATGTTGAAAAACCCTCAATTTGTTTAGCACAACCTCAAGATGTATGGACATAAGAAATGAATTTCAAGTCTTGAAAATAGTGCATCTTGTAATGTATAATCTAGACCATCAATTTTCAAGATTTTCAAGAGTTCATAGATCTGTTGAATCTATAATGTTTTTTAATCTTTAAATTTTAAAATTAGAGATGAAAATAAATTTTCAGGTCATTATAAAGATTTCTGATACCAAAAAACATATTTCAATACTATTTGTAGATAAGCTTTATTTTAATTGGTTAGAGCCTCAACCTTATACAAACCACACCCTTTAAATATTTTTATTACTTATTTTAGTTTTTGTTATTTT